TACCTAACAGGCACGATCACCACGAACACAGCTAAAGGATCAAGTACAGTAACTACAACTAACTAACGTTGTAGCCTCTATGGTTGTAGCCTAGCAGATTGGACAAGTTGCTGTTAGCTGACAGTGAGGCACGTATCTGTCAATCAAAGTGACCACGCCCTAATGTATGCACAAACTTTAAGACCTAATATAAATATAAAGGGTCGCGTTAGAAAACAATTCACTCACAGATCCATAATCATGAAGGTGGAATCTAACTATATCGATAATAAAATGTATGGAGCCAGGGGTAGAAACATGTTTTTTTCTGCTGTAAAATCGGGCATTTTAACATGGGGGTCTATGGAAATTGCTCCTTTCTGCAGCCATCGCCTATCGGCCAATATATGAACTGCAGTGTGTGGCACTTCCGTATTGGCTTCCCGGCTCTACCCCACAGTTTGCCGCTTGGTACAGGCCCTTCGATTCGGTACACGTGTGTACCGAACGAATATAACGTTAAACGTAAAAAATTGAGAACGTGAACAACTTTTTGGAAGTAATCTCAGGTGCTGCGTCGCAGCATTCAGAGTAATTTGCTAACATTGTGTTCAACGCGTCATAGAGCGACCAAGTCATTTCATTGGACGAGAGGCATACTATGAGAGCTGGTCACAGGGATGCGTTCAAATTTAGTCAGTAATTTGAGGAAATGGCGAACGCAGATAAAGTTGAGCTCGAAAATCCTCCAGCATCATTGAAGTCTCCGGTTTGGGAACATTTTGGTTTCGCAGTTACGTACAAGGATGACGGACAAAGACAGGTGGCCCGAACCAAAGCTGTTTGTCGGCATTTTTCAACTAACATTGGTTACGCGGCTGGCAATACATCAAACTCATTTGAAAAGGCATCACCCGAATGTGAATATCACCGGTACCAAAAGAAAAAAGATTGAAGTGCAAACTCAACTCCCACTAGCATTTAAGCCTCCACCACTCGCAAAAAGTTCAGACCAAGTCAAAGCTATTACAAACGCCAAACATCCTTATGTTGCCATGTTAGCAAAGCGCTACCTGGCTGTATCTGCTACCTCTGTCCCTAGGGAGAGGGTGTTCTCCACAGCAGGAGACATTGTTAGTGCCAGCAGATCTGCCCTTTCGGCAAGCAATGTGGACAAGTACATTTTTCTTAAAAAAAACATGAAAATACAATGACAAGCAAGTCATAATGTCAAACTGGCTGCTTAGGTACTAGTACAGTACAGTTCAAATACAGATTATTTCAGTTCATCGAAATGCTGCACCTTAATGTTTATTTTATTATATTTTGTATTTATTTGAGTGAATATTCACAGTTTAATAATAATTAAAAACCCAAAACTAATAGTTGATGTTTTGTGAGTACTAGTACGGTAAAGTTCAAATACAGATTATTTCAGTTCATCGAAATGCTGCACCTTAATGTTTATTTTATTATATTTTGTATTTATTTGAGTGAATACATTATTCACAGTTTAATAATAATTTAAAAAACCCAAGAAATATTTTATGTTTTGTGATCATTTTTTCTGCTGTACCGTAAACGTACCGAACCGAACCGTGACCTAAAAACCGAGGTACGTACCGAGCCGAAATGTTTGTGAACCGTTACACCCCTATTGTTAAGTGAAGCTTAATACCAAAAGAAACATCCTGAGAATCAGTCATCTATGGAAATAGACTTATCCCCGTATCCACAGCCAAATTGATTTATGAACAAACCTGTGTGTGCGTGTGCAGCTGTTTGCTGCAGGCGTGAAGTGGTGCAGGCCACCGACAGTATCAGTGCTTTATCTGCATAAGAAGTCCGTTTTAATCAATGTATTTGAACTATATGGGTTTGCCACTTAGGACAACAGGAATAATATTAAAATGAATTCCTTCCTTTTCCACTGATTTACAGTTTACTGCAACCTTAAAAGGGTTCAAAGAGCTTCGGGGTGGAGATTGATATGGTCTGACATTTAATAATAATGAATCATTTTGAGTAAGAGGCGTAGGGGAGCTCTGCAGGCTTGCTGCAGCAGGTAGTGGGTTCAGCATCTCTCTCCCCCCCTACCCGTCTCCCCCAACCTTTTGTTCCATGCACAATGTTAGGACTGATGTACAGTATCTTCCCAGGCAGGAGAGGCTTAACCCAAGCCAGATGACTCCCAGAAGCCCCCTGGATTAGAAGCTATAGGTTTCTTTTCTTTGGGTGTTTCATAATTAAAAGAATAAAAAGTGTGGTGTGAAAATCAGTAAACATTGTGCTAATTTGAAGTTTAAAACTGTGAAATCTTTCACTAAAATGAGAAGAGGATGTAGGCTACAAAACTTTCAGGATATCAAAGCTCAAAATGATCACTAAAAAAAGAAACAGTTTAACAAAACGCTTGTTGAATGTTGAATTTCTTCTGTAAGGGCAAATCAATGTTTTCCTCTTGTACTGTTATGGCAGGTATTCTCTCTTTATCCTCTTGAGAAAAACTTCTATTCGCTGCTGAGTTAGACATTGTTTCTGTTGATTTCCTGCATGATGTCAAAGAGTAGCGAGGATTAGAGTAATTTTGAACAAAAAGCCCTGGTGGCGCAAGAAGAGGTGACAGCATTATTCTCCAGATGAGGATTGGATCATTTGGTGGATTAGGTCCCGGTTTGTTCAAAGAGGCGGAACCAAATCAACTCCAGAAAAGCAATCATATCAAGTGAGACTGTTGTTTAACATTTGACCTCAATAACTCACCGTTGATCAGCCTGACAAAGCAAAGACTATGTCACCCTCTGGAAGTTGGAAGTCACTAAAACAGTGCCAATGACATTTCTGAGCTTTTGTGTTTGTTGTCTAAATATGCACTAGGGCTGTCCCGAATACTATTTTTCGGGCTCCGGATATTTGGTAGTATATCAGCAGCGAATATTTGGAACGGAGAGATTTTTTTTATTTTTTTTTTATAAAAACACATTTTCCAAAAGGTTTCATAACACGCTCCGAATCCGAGACACTTGACAACACGCTGTTAAGCAGAAGCGCAGAAAGAGCATACTATTACGATTTATACTTTATAAGATTTATATTTATTTCCAGTGCACGTTTTTATCATGTGTAACGTTACTGTTTAAACGGCGGATAAAGCAGCTTCATCATGGCAACTTGACAACAGCTAAGCTAGTCTACTACTTACAGCATCCAGGTGACTTTTCAGAGTTGTTGTGCCACCGTGGTAGGCCAGTTTCTTGTCGCATATTTTGCACACTGCCTTCTTCTTATCGTCGTCCAATTTAAAATGGTCCCACACAGCTGAAGTCTTCGGCATTTTGTGTTCAGGTGAAACGAGGTGAAGCGTGACGTTCGTGACTGTGAGTGAAAGCGATGTCAGGAGCCCAGGCTGAGATTGTATATATTTCGGCATTTTAACAGTGCAATTCAAAAGTATAAATATAGTATAAGAATATGGCAATTCGCTTTTATTGATAGCATACATTTAGGAAAAAAAACGAATATCCGAATAATGAAATTGAAACTGAATAGTTGGCCAACGAACGAATATTCGGATATTTGGGTACAGCCCTAATATGCACTTGTTCAGGCCTAGATGAAATGTGACCCGCTCTATCGAAATCAGTCGGAAGTCGCAACGGCTCATTTCAAAATAAACGTGGATTTGCGTAAAAAACAATTTTTTCGGGGTTCGGGTGTTTTGTTTGATTTTAAATAAACAAAGTCTTGGCTTTCAGAATATGAAACTTTTATTTCCAAAATCACACGATAAATACATGTTTGAAGCTTGTAAAGGGACGAAGACAGGCACCTCTCACTCGCAATCTGCTCTTCCGCAGCGCCGCCCCCCCCTCCCTCCGGCTGACATTATGAATGTACGCGTATAGTAATCATAAATAACACGACAGGGTCCGTTACAGTTTGTTTTCATCTGATTTCAATTAAACAAAATCTTGGCTTTCAGAATATTAAACTTGTTTCGGCAAATTCAGATGATAAATACAACTTTGAAGCTTGTAACGGCATAATTACAAGCGGAGAACGGAGTAATTTAACGTCACAGCAGGCATAACAACAGCCGGTGTTTCTCGTGAGGGTTTTCCCCGGGAAACAAACACAATACACACAAATGCAAAATTACACAAACACACACACACACACACACACACACACACACGTATACACACACACACTCGCGAGCTTCCCCCAGACCAGTAATCCAAACGAAAATATCTTCCCTCCGTAGTATTTTGATCATTTGCTCCGCTAATAATCAATCAGATCGATGGATTCCAGAGAAGAGAAAACTTTGAAGGCCTTTTTCTCAAAATGAGGACTCGGTGACAGTCATTATATAATGTGACATATTTCGCTTAATATTTGGAGTACAAAAACAATCCTGATATCATTAGAAAGCTAGGAATCTCCTCTTTCCAGCAGTGTATACAACTCAAAATGTGTCTTCGGGTCAATGCGACTGATTTCGATAGAGCAGGTCACAAATCTGGTGTTAGCAGTCAGCACAAGTCCTGGCCAAAATGACTGATTTACAATATAAAGCCTAAAGATGATCAAATGATGCTTAAAACTTGAAAACCTATTGGAACTTCACTTCATCTAACTTGTTAAGAGAACACTTTTTGTTTTCATCACATATAGAACACATTTTATTTAGTGGAGATGCTTTTTAGTGAATAGCAAACGGAGTATCTTAAGTAATGTAACCATATGTCCCTTCTGAATAAATGTAGGATAAAAGGTCTATTCTTTCCTAGAAGATCATTTCTATTTATTTAAATCCAACTTTATTTATATTCTGTCTACCAGACAGCTTTTATCAAGTCACTCTTAAGGATATGAATGATTATCTTGATCACTGAGATTCACAGCGTTGAACTCATCGTGTGGTTGGTGGGTAGCTTGGGAACAGTGGATCCAAATGGAGTGTGTTTCCATTCAGCCGTCGTTTTCTTCTCACTGAACTTTCTTTGATCCGTTTGCAGGAAGAAATCCCAGAAATGGGACGAGATGAACATCCTGGCCACGTACCACCCGGCCGACAAAGACTATGGCCTGATGAAGATCGATGAACCCAGCACTCCTTACAACAGGTCGGAGCCCCTTTGTCTTTGCCTTTTTTATAACATTTGATTCAATTGGTCTGAAATCATTTTTGAAAATACTTTTGATATTACATTTTAAATGAAAAGCTATCTGAAGACATTCCTTTTTGGGAGGTTTTTAAAGACCTCCTCTACACTAAGAAATAACTCCAGATCATTTAAAAATAAGAGTTTAGACTCCAGTGTGTGTATCAGTGTGTGTATCAGCCAGCCGGTTTGTGATCCAATATGCCAGCAGAGGGAAGGTCACCCTTGTCACGGACCTTTCCTCTTTCTCTCCTCACTCTCCTCCTTCCTGTCTACTCTTACCTCTGCCCTCTCCTTTATCCTCTCTACCAACTTGACTGTTTGCCTATCAGCTGCTGTTTGTTTTTGTCATTTCCTTTCCTTCCTAATCCTTCCTCACTCGCTTAATTTCCAGCTTATCTTTATTCAGTTCATTTCTCTCTTTCAGGATGGTGGGGGAAGACGAGGATGAAGGGGCGCTGAGTGACACGGAGGGCCACAGCGGACTCGCAGCGGACGACCTGGCATCAAAGTAAGAAATATGACTGCAGGGAGACTAGAACAAAGCTAGTGTGAAGGGGAGAAAGCAAACAATGGAAGAGAACATGATTAGGTTTGCCACTGTAACAGCTCTGCTGCATTTTAACATTTAGAGGTTTCTTTAGTTGTTCATTGTGTTCTGCAGAGATATGTAGGCATTCCCTCACTCCAGGACTTCACTGCTTCTGTCTTGGACAATGCTTTAGGCTGGGTTTACTAAATGTATCTGGACAAACTTCCTTTGAGAGAGAACTGAACCTTGTTAAAGGTCAGCATCAGTATCCAAACTACATTTAAATGTGGCGTGTCCTCAGACTGCTCAGAAAGCATTATGATTCACTGTTCTCATTTCTACACTTGCTGATCAACAAACAATGGGTTTAGGGACGTTTCCCAACAGCCTTGAATTTCAGGGGATACACGTCATGCGCTGTGCGGAATGGCTCTGACTCTCACAGCCTGTGTTGGTGCCACAGACTTTAGCTCAACAGATCTAGAGAAATGACAAACACTTTTGTGTTTTGCTTGTCTAACTAAATGTCTATGTGCTTCCACAGGGCAAGCTGTCTTTTCAATTTGTATTTATACAATTTTTTGATAAACATTACTTTTTATGGAACCACTTTAGGAGTGTCACAGTAAATATAAATACTTGTACTGAGATACTTAAACATTACCAAGATATTATCGTCTTTTCCAACTGAAAAACTGACTTAAATGAAACTATATGAATCATCTAATCTGAATACAGAAGTGAACATGTCGTCTCTTGGACTTTTTAAAAGCAATTCACAGAGGAAGGAAATAAAAAACAAAAATGTTATTGGTAGTGGATGTGTAAATTGTAAATTGTGTAATTTCTAGTTTTTCCATCTTTCATATTTTTCTTATGCATGCTTCTTGAGGAATATCAAGCTATCTTTGTCTCTCTGCTGTAACAATTGTAAATGTCCTCTCTGTGGGTCGAATAAAGGTTTCCTGAAGCTTGAGGGCAAATGGAAGAGCAGCATTTTTATAAAAAAGAATCGGAGACAAAAAGAAGCAGACGGTTAAATGTCAGTAACATCTGTATTATCTCTGAGTAGCAACTGCACCCTGAAAAGTCCTCCTTGGTTAATAGATGTATTTCTGGCCCTCGGAGGGTCCTCTGGATGGGGGGGCAGCTTGAGGAGTGTGTTTGCTGTGGGCCAGATGCAGGGATGGGATGAGTTGGTAAGAGTGTATGCACAAGGAGGATAGTGATTGGCTCCAAGCTTTCGGGTCAATTAGCCGCCTTTGCATCCTTCCACACGGAGTGCCTTCCATTGTTTTACACTGAACGCTCCAGATAGAACAACAGCTGCTCTACTCAGTCCTCTTGTTGTTTAATCTTCACCACATCCATTCTCAGTCTCTTCTCTCATCCATCATTTATCCAGCTATGCTTTTTGTAGGCCCTCTTCTCTAATTCACTGCATCACCTTCTCACTTCCTGTCTGACTTTATCCACCTTGGATATCTGACACTATGATTGGTGTGCTTTGAAACTGCAGGGATTGACTTGTCTCCTCTCTGGGTGAATGTGAGCGCTCTGGGAGAGCGGTTGTACAGTAGAGCTTCCCCGGGGCAGCAGCACCGAGTCAGTGGCGTCCGCTGAGCCGTAAACCATTATTCAGTTTGTGCTGTCGGAGCTCTTTGTGAGCGTGAGAGGCGGGGATAGTAACTTGTTATTTTTGTCTCATGCTTGAGTACTCGCACACGCCTGCTCACATCTCTTCCCTCTCTCTCTGCCTACTCTCTCCTCCCCCTCGCCCAATATCTCTCCATCTGTCTCTTTTTGTTCTGTTAATAGAAATCCATTTCAAACGTTTTTTTAATGACTAGGAGGACGTTTTGTTCGTCTCATGTTAAGATTCTATACTCAAACTAGCAACTCATTTATATTTCTTATTAACGTATTCATTCTTCCTGTGTGTTTTATGTTCTTTCCAGGCTGGTAGCTGCCGAGGGCTCAGAGCCTCGTTTTATGAAGGAAGAAGAGGAAGAAGAAGATGAAGATAGCAGCGAGGAGGAGGAAGAGGAGCTTTCTCCTGAAAATCAAGGTAAACATAGAATATATATATTTTAATTAAACACATCCACACCTATTGCTGCCTTTGTGCGTCTCGTCCCGGTGTCAGATTATCAGGATGTCCCACAGTTCACCTGTTTTTATTTTTACACTCCACCTGAAAGTGTCCTCTGCAGCTGTGAGGGTGACTCCATGCAGAGCAAAGTGTGCTGGAGGGGACACATCGCTTTGGAAAGGGCTCCAGTGTTCTGTGTGCTCTTTCAAAACACACACACACACAGTGTCAGTATGCGTTTGCCTGTTCCCTGACCTTCTATGTATAAACACACCTCTCTGTCCCATACAGAGATGTCAGTTAAGCTGCACACACACACACACACACACACACACACACACACACGCACACAAGCATTTTAACAGGTGCTTGTTGTTTCACATTTATATCTGAACTATTCATCTGAAATCATGTGATCAGTCTGGAAACTGCAAATCGGATCGAAATAATCCATCTGCGGCCTCACTTTTGGACTCACGGTTGTAAACATATTGTGCCACCTTTTTAGGAGTGTTTTAAGATGATTAGAGCTGCAGATAAAGACTTGCTGATTCATTTAAAGGTTTGCTGCTGTGTTTTGGATCTCACATATCCAAATTAATTAAACAAGAGAAAAGTTCATACTTTCTTTGCTTTTGAAGTTGATTTCTTGCATACAGAAAAAAAAAAGTTTAGTTAGACATCACATTTTAGCTGCCCATAATGAAATAAACCACTCACACCAAAACAAAAAAGACTTTATTGCTGCTTCACTGCACAGCCTGGTAGTGCCATAAAGTCTGTCACACCCTCCTTTTCCTTTTTATTATAGTGCATAACTATCGATCTCGAGGTTGCAGCAAACACTTGAAAGTTAATGTTTTTGAAATAAGCCTCCTAAGTTACCTCACTATCCCATTTAGAGTCTGACCCCTTTCAGAGTAAGTTTATCAGAAACAATAGAAACGCAGGAGAAGACTTTTACTGAGCGTCTTCCAAGTGTTCCAAAATGTGATCAATATTTGTGTCAGTAATGCTGAGAATAATTAAATATTCTGCATGCACCTGTTGCTTCTGGATAGTTCATTTATTTTCCTTTGCAGCCAAAAAGACGCATTTCGTGATGATGAGGAAGATGCACTACAATGAGGGCATGAACATCAAGTTGGCCCGGCAACTCATTGCCAGCGAGCTAGAGGAAGACGAGGATGTAGATGAAGAGATGACGGACGACACAGAGGAGACAAGGGAGGAGACGAGGGAGGAGACGGAGGAGATCAGTGTGGACCCGCCACAGGAAGGTAAGGAGAGCTGGACTCTGTCGCTGTGTGTTCTGGATGAGTCGTTTTTAGTATTTGTAAAACGGGCCTATTTGTGTAGTTCACACTTCTGTTAAAAAGAAGCTGAAGTGAAAAGGTTCAGAAAGGTACCAGATGTGCACGGCCTACCAGATCAGCACGGGGTCCGTTACGCTTACTACTAATGACGTCACTCATTGGCTGTACGGCAACCCAAGAGGACATTTTACATGGCCAAATGTTCTTGGCTGTGGACTTGTGCTCTACATAATTATGTTGAGCTCATGGTAATCTAATTCAATAAACAATAACTGCGATGAACAGATAGCATTTTCTGACTCGTACAATGATTGGATATGGTGTAATTTGGTAAATGATTCTGTGTTTGAAAAATGTATATCTTTAAAAACTGCGTTGGTGTATGATCAGATTTGATTTCTAATTTTAAAATGTCCTCTTGGGTTGCCGTACAGCCAATGAGTGAGGTCATTAGTAGGGATGCACCGAATATTCGGCCACCGAAAATTATCGGCCGAAAATGGTTAAAAATGCCCTTTCGGCCGAAAGGGTTTTAGCACCGAAAAAATATCACCGAATGTCAGAACAGGCTTACGTTGGTAACCTAACGTGTTGTTGTGATGACGTAATAAAGACGTGGCGACCATGCTCGCGGCTGGCTCACAGGGGGGGGGGGGGGGGGGGACATTGACCTTTGTCATCGAGATTGCCCTGAGCCTTTAACAAATCGTATTAAATAATCTGATGACAGACTGTAAACAGAATAGCTGAAATTTTAACAAACTAAATAACTCAGTTTCCTCTAATCATTAACCCATGTTTGTATCATGTAGTTAACTCCGTGTGTTGCTGCTAGCATACATAACACCTGACGTGGAAACGTTACTCGTGGATGGGGCTACAGAGCTGCTAGAAAGACGGTCGAACCCGGTACATTCCTCCGTCTGCATGCGGTGCACTTTAGCTAAATGTTTAGACAAATTGCTCGTGCTTACATGCTAAACTCTTATTGCACTTATGGTAACAAGTATTCTCCACATCGAGACGGGTAAAGTTTAACCACACCTCGGAGCGCGTTCTCTCCGCCATCTCCGCAGTGTGCTCCGCTGCATGTAGCAGCTGCGTGTGTGTAAACTGCCCCGCCCCCTCGCACACAGACGGGGGAGAGATCTCGTCTGATCGAAAATACATCATAGACGCATTTGTTGTCTTTGCATATTAGAAACGAGTTGGCGACACTAAGACTGCGATATAATGTTTTTTAGCAATAATACATGACATATATAAATGTACTGTATGCATTCAAAAGTGCTGAATAAATGTTTTATGGACCCATAATAGTGATTATTATTTAAGTTAAGTTTTGCCATAATCATGTTTATTTCCATAATCAGGTAGCTGAACAACATTGGTAAAAAATGTATACATTATATATATATATTTCTATTAATCATTTTCGGCCTTTCGGCATTCGGTTTTCGGCCAACTGTTTCCTATTTTCGGTATCGGTTTCGGCCAAGAATTTCCCATTCGGTGCACCCCTAGTCATTAGTAAGCGTAACGGACCCCGTGCTGATCTGGTAGGCCGTGCACATCTGGTACCTACACCGGCAGTGTGGAAGTCATGAAATTAAACTGTGGTTGTTGTGGGTTGTGATCAAATTAATCATTCATTACCTAAAAGTAAAAAAACTGACTTAGTGCAGGATTAGTTCTTTGTCAAACTCAAAATAGAGTGACTAGTTTTCAGTTAGAAAAACAATGTAGGAAAATGAATTCAAAACAAGAAAAACACCAGAAAGAATTTTTTTTAAAGTAATAAAACTCACTTGAGGGCAACTTTGTAATACTGCACACTAGGACATGAAGAGATGTGACCCACTTTTAATCATCAGAACTTTTATCAATCCCCCCAGCTACTTTATTTGGAGGATCAAAGTACAAAGAGAAGAAATATAATTGGTGAAATATTATATTTATGTTGCTATTCTGACGTCTGTCTGCCTGTTTGTTCTCCAGCTGATTCTCTGGACTCGTAGACGAGGTTCCCCCCCACCCCCTGTGTGTCGGCTCAGGATCCTGACAGACGCTGATCTGATTTTAAAGCTACGCCGTACAGCAGACACCGCTTTACCACTCATGTAACAAACCTCAACAGCCAACAACCTCCCGGTCACCTGTTCCTTAGAACTGTGCAATATAACCTTCAAACTCTCTGCTTTTTAACTCCCAGAAGCAGTACAACACACAAGAGAAGACTGTTGCCTCTCCCCCCCCCCCCCCCCTCTCCTGTTGCCAAGAATTCCCCCTCCTACCTCCTCTGGACTGTCGTCGCACTGAATGATATGTGATTCTGACCTTGGAAGGAGGATCAAAAAGAAATAAAACATTAAAAAACCAACTGCTGAATACCAGGGCTCTCTCTGCGTCACCCCTGCAGGAAGCCAGGGGAAACCCCGCGGTCTGACTACAGATATCCGAGACATGGCACTGATTCTGGGTGCACTTCAGACGGTTCTTATTTTTGTTTCACTTTGTTTTTTTTACACATTTTCTTTCCACCGTCAGTATATTTTGTGATTTAAAAAGTTGGACAGGGTGATGACCAGAGAGGTTTGTTTTTGTCCCTTCGTCTGACCTGGTACGTCAGGTAGGCTCTTCATATTGGAATAAAGTGTTAAGGTCACTGAAGAGCTATGTCTCTAAAAGCACAATATGGCCTACATTATCCAAATGCAAAAAAACCATCTTACCTGTGCTGTGGTTTCTCATGTTGATGCTTACAGTTAGCTGTTTGGCTTTTTGCGTAAGATCATAAAAAAAACACTGATTGTGAGTATTATATTGGCATGATGCTGATTTCTGCCCAGAACTTATTACATTCTGTCTTTACGAGCAAGAACACCACATTAAACCTTATTTCAAATCTGGCAATACAACAAAAACATGTATACCTCACAGAATCTACACAACATAGGTATTTTAAATCTACTTTTCAATTTGAAGTACAGGTTTTCTTACAAGAGAAACTTGTTTTGTATTGGTAAAAGGTTTTAACATTTAATGAGATATTTCCAAATTAGATTGAAAGAAAAGCTGATAATTAACATTTCAAGCTGTTCAGTTAGTTAGGCCCCTGAGTTTTTCATAGTCATAGGATAAGTGAAATCGGCACGTATAACCTTTTATCTCTTTAAAATAGTAGGAGGGACAGTGTGTAAGTCCCATAACAGTGTCTGTCACCATGCCACAAGGCTCTTATGTAGATCTGACACAGAAGAGACCAGCGCTCTCGCTTTAAAATGGTTTCTAGTATCTGATTTGTCATCGACCAGGTGAGAGTACAGCTTTTTAGGAAAGTTTAATCTTCAGGATTGTGTTAACTTATCACCCAACTTTATCACACTTGTATTGATTGTTGTCTGATCTACTTAAGTGTCTGTGAGATGCAGCTTGGGAATGTCAAAGGAAGAGTCGTTGTGATGCTACTGACCGCTAAAGGCTAATTTGAGGTGGATTTTGTAATGTGAGAGGTTCCTACAAGTGTCGTGAAAGTCTTAAAAAATGTTGGATTGGACACAAATATTGAGAAAGAGAACAATGGTCCTAATGCAACCGAAATAGCATTTTTAAGTTTTTGACTGTCATCGATGAGTTGACTATACAGAGTTGAATGATTGCCTTGAGAGAAACGTATATAGGAACCCTGAGTACTGTGTGGTGATCTCTTCATTTTCTTCTGGCCCTTTAATTCTTCACAGTGACTGAAAGTGTTGAGCTATGGGTTTATAGAAATACAAAATATCATAGACCAACAGTATGACTTCTGCAAACTTCTCTTTGCAGTGAATTTGGTTCTTGTATTTAAGTTCTAGGTGGCGGTTTGGCTCCATGACGGAGGTTAAAGCCTCTTTCTCTTGGCCATCGCCACCAAACAAGCAGCTCTCGTCTGAGCAGTTAAATATCACATGAATATTGCAGCAAAAGAGGAATATGTGTGGAAATACAGATGTTGACGATACTGTTCTATTGTGTTCTATGAATTGGTGAACAGATACAAAAAGAAGATTGGTTCTCGCTCAAGACAAAAGGACAAAATCGTCCGAATCATGACTGACATGATCACTCTGTAGGTGGTTATAATGTCAAATGTGCCTCTTATGTATTTATGTACATGTGTGTAAAAATAACAGGCTATGCTCCGATTTACTGTTTTGTTCACTGTCTTGCTTTTTCATACTGCACCTCTTCTGCCGTGTTTGGTTTGTTTTCTAAGAATGACAGACTGTTAAGCACTGTGTGTCTGTCCCACAAATGACTTGGATGTCCAGTTTGCATGTCCTTAATCATCAGATTGCGTGTATTCTGTTATTGTTTTTGTCGCCTATCATTAAACAAATGTTGTTAGGAACTCTATTCTCCGGCTCATGTTTGATCTAAGGAGTCAGAATTATATAAACCTGAAACATGCATAAACATTTTCTCTGACATCGTCGGTCTGATTAAAGCCTCTAGCTTCTGCAAATAAACGTCAGTCTGATCATGCGCTGAAAAATTTAGAATTTTAAAGTTTTATCCCATGTAACTAATCATCTATTTTAGCAGTGATGCAAAAAAGTACACGTCCCACAAAAACATGAAAACATACTCCATTATTAATCTTAATTTAGTTTGTTTATAGAAAAATATATTCAAGGAATAGAAATAAAATCAAACATAAAGCATTTACTCAGTCACACATGTACATACTTTGTTGAGGTACTTTCTCTTTAGTTGAGTACTTCAATGTTTTACTGCTTTGTACTTCTACAGTTCAGAAGTAAATCCTGTACTTTTACTCCACTACATTTATTTAATACCTTTAGTTACTTTGCAGATTTGGATTAATGACGTGAAATATAAAACAAAACTTAAATAACACTTTAGTTAAACCTGGAGTAAATACACAAGCTACCCTGCAGTATACAAAGTAATTAGAACTAGCTGCACCTTTACTAGCTTTGATAACACTTTAATGCATCATTATTTGTATTAAAACATATAATATGGAGTGGCGCAGTGGATTAGTGCGTTGGTGTTCGGATCAGGGCAGCACGTTCAAACCCCACTGCAGTCAGCATGTCGTTGTGTCCCTGGGCAAGACACTTCACCCCAAATTTCTCCTGTGGTGATTGCCCACACACAGTATTGAGTATGTAAGTCGCTTTGGATAAAAGCGTCCAACAAGAAACATGTAATGCAATATTTATGATTCTGAAATGGACCAATCTGAATAATGACTACTTTTACTTTTGGTACTTTACTTATATTTTAGGCTAATATTGTTGTACTTCTACTTGAGTAAGGATTTGATTGCAATACTTTCATTTTATAACAGAGTATTCCTACACTTTGTAAGTTCTACTTTTACTGAAGTATAAGATCCGAGTACTTCTTCCACGCGACATAAGAACTCCTCTAAAACCACCAGTGGGCACTGTTACACAACATATATGTAATTCCCGTTGGATTTCCAGTAATTATTCCAGGATGAAACTGTGGACTATGTTCCTGCAAGGATTCTCCTTGACGGTTTACAGTTTTCATTTAATCACAAAACAATGTAGGCCTAAGTGGTCGAGAAATTAGGATAAAATGTCAAATGTTTGTGATATGATTGTGGAGTAAAGGCTACAGAGAACCACGGCGGAGTAGAAATCAGGAGGTTGTCCTGAAGAGTCAACTCACACAAAGATCGTATAGAAAAACACTGAGGCATCACTAGTTTCGGAGGATAGACGCATTAAAGGGGCTCATAATATTGCTGTCATACTACATAACTAAATTAATATGCTCAGGGGTCTTAAAAAGTATTCAAAGTTGATAAATCAATTTAGAGAAAATTAAGGCTTTAAAAAGTATTAAAAAGTATTAAACGACATTTTCCAAGGTATTATATTTTGTAGCTTGTTTTCAATAAGTATTGTCCAAAGAGGTTGTATTCTAAAGCAGTAATCGGGCAGTTCGATGTGTGTAATAGAGATGTGTGTAGAGGTGTGTGTGTGGTTGATTGATTGATTGATTGAAAAGTTTATTAACAGCTTGTATATTGGGTACAGTACAGTACAGCTCAAAACATACAATTGTTAAGGGGATGCAGACCAGAGAAAGACTTTCGTCTTGTTTACATCAGGGTCCCCCATTTCCAATTCATCATATCATTTAAGACATATAAGACATATTTGACATACAGATGGCTTATTTACAATTTACATACAGGTGGTTTTTTACATACAGATTGCTTATTTACAATTTGCATTTTAGATTTCGTTCTAATACATCCTAACCGGACATTTAAGACATACCAAGTCTACAGATATACAGTTAGTAACAGAGTCTAAAATGCGAGTATATATACATAGATGGGGGGGGGGGGAAGCTGTCCATTGAACGACAGGTTGAGATGTGTACCATTACCGGGGCCAGTTTTGCAATGCTCTCCCCCGAAGGTGCTCTTTAAGAGAGGTTTTGAAGGTAAGTATAGTTTTACTTTCCTTTACAGTTGTGGGAAGAGCGTTCCACCTTGATGTGGCATAATTGCGAAACGTGTATCCACGCGACATGTAGCAGCGTAGCAGCCTGCAGTCACTCGCTGTTCTGATGAAGGTAAACACAGCGAAGGCGGTGCGTAAAAATGAACATCTTTACCCGCTGGTGCTGCACTTCTCAGAGGCGGAGTATACGTCCCGCTGCCTCCTGATGCTGCAGCCATTTCATGAAGTGAAGGAGGTTTTCCTTCTATAATACAGCTTCGGGCAGCAGATACCGTGAGAGTCCCGGACATGAATTCATAGATCAAGGCAGACATGGTTTACTCTCCTGTTTTGCCAATCCGGTGCTTAAACAAATAAGCTAGCTCTACACCCCTGGCCGACATGTCCTTAAAATGAAGTCCGAGTTTGAAATATATCTCAAATAATGTATGCACTGCCATTTCCCCATAAACATAACAGTCTGCAATCAAACGGTTGTCTCCTGTGCGCTCCTCTTCCTACTTGGCGCACCGGTAACTTTCTCGTGCGCTCGAGAGGCTGATAGGCTACCAGGCTGAGCCGCCGAATCCCTCGGAACATCATAAAAGCCATTTTCAACGGGTTTCTAGTGAAAGATTAACTAGGCTACTGGATGAAATAATATGACTGGTATAGGTGCGAACATTATTGAAAACATTATGATAAAATATTTGTATAGGCCTATATTTATAATTCTGCAAATATTACGATAAATTCACAGCTATTTCGCGGCCAGGCAGTAACACCTACGCGGCCCGGTATCGGTCCGCGGACCGGGGGTTGGGAACCCCTGTTCTAAAGTTTGCCTGAATGTAATCATTGCGTATGACTCTTTGTAGTTTATTTATGGCATCCCGTTGGATTTGACGTCATCTGAACAGGACATCGCGCGCTCACTGCTTGATAGCGCGCGAAGGTCCGTTTACGCCGGTTGTTAAACAACATCGTTAAGGGGAAATGCAAGTTTGCGTCCAAATGGTTGGAAGATAAGGAGGAAGGACAATCAATAGCCTACTAAATGTGCTTGTGTCACCAATGTAACCGGTTAAAACTCAAAGTGGCGATGAGGTCTTAAAATGTAGCCTATGGAAAGGGTCTTAAAAAGGCCTTAAAAGGTAGGCTATTACATTTGACTTCAGGATTGATGCTACAAAGAACATAAATCCAATCCTTCTTCTGGGTTATCTCCTAATAATCTATCTCCTGTTATTTGGATTTATTATCTTTTCTTTAAAATGACACCCTATGTTCATTTCCAAACTGATGCTTCAAAATCTACCTGAACGTGTGTTTTTGTCCTTAAAAATTGACATATTTCCTGCAAATAGATAAAGAAGCTTCACTTACGCAGTAGGCCTATCAATTTTCCTATAAAACTATTTATGTCACTGACAGCAGTTTCTACATTATCTTGTTAGCCTTAGAGAAGGTAAAACAAATATAGTAAGTATGGAAATATTAGACTCAGCTTCTAAAATAAATATTAGCTTGTAAATCCCTACCATGTGTAGATCAGAACTTTGTTTCTCTACAACAGTAAAATGCGACTTGATGCAACAATCTTATCTGGAAATGTTACATATATAATTATAGTTATATCCACACATTAAGACAACTTTTCTGCACAATTATTCATTGTACTTTTTATAGCCTACTTCAAGTACATTCAGCTGATAATACGTTTGTACTTTAACTTAAGTACGATGTTGAATGCAGGACTTACTTGTAATTAATTTTGATAATAATGTATTCTTACTTTTACTCAGAGGTGGGAGAAGCACTCAGATAATTTACTTGAGTGTACGAATACCCTGTTACAAGTAAAAGTCCTGCATTCAAAATGTTACTCAAGTAAAAGAAAAGTATTAGCATCAACATATACTCAAAGTACCAAAAGTAAAAGTACTTATTATGCAAATAGGTCAATTTCAGGGTAATGTATATATTATATGTATTGATTTAAATTATTGATGCATTAAAGTGTTATCAATTACTTTGTATGCTGCAGGGTAGCTTCGGAATTTGAATCCAGGTGTAACTAAAGTTTTATTGAAGTGTTGATTATATTTCATATTATTATTACAAATCTGTAAAGTAACTAAAGGTATACAAATAAATATAGTGGAGTTAAAGTACACGATTTACCTCGGAGTTGTAGTGGAGTAGAAGTGCAAAGTAACATAACATAGGGCGGCTGTGGCTCAGTGGATAGAGTGCTGGACTTCTAATCAGGGGTTACCAAGTTCGAGTCCCACTGCAATCGGCATGCATGTCCCTTGGCAAGACACTTCACCCCAAATTGCTCCTGTGGGGATTGTCCACAGTCGGCTACTGAATAAGTCGCTTTGGATAAAAGCGTCTAACAAATGATAACATTTAAAGTAGGCGTACAAGTATCTCAAAATTGTACAACTTGAGTAAAGTGCCCACCTCTGCTTTTACTCCAGTAAAGCAGCTGAATACTTCTTTCACCATTGATCACTCATCAATCATTCTCTCTGTTAATGTTTGCTGTAAATCCCAATAAACAACAAACCCTTGCAACCTGCAACACATGCTCTGGGCAGTGATGCATCTTGTCTCAGTATAGACGATCTGTGTGAGTCAGTAGTATCTGCGTTGAAAAAAAGCTGCTCTCCCACACTGGCTGCTATGACCTAGCTACCGGAGGACACTTTCTGCTCTCAGGACTGACCGCTGCGTCTCAAATAGTTTGTTGTAGCGTTTTTTTTGGCAACCATTCCTTCACATACAGTCGTTTATGGTTGCATTGCTGCGACTTTTTAATCGTAGCTGCTAGCCTCTGGGGCTAGCAGAGCAGTGACAGAGAGGAACCAGCTGGTCAGGAGTACAGTAACGTTAGCAACAAGCTAATTAGCCTGGATTACTGTCTTTAATCACAGAGAGTGTGCGTGTTTACTCACTGCGGCAAAATGAAGATAACTGTGGAATTCGAGGAATGTCTGAAAGACTCCCCACGGTTCAGGTGAGTGCTGACAACCAGGCTTTAGTTCCTGTTATTTATTTATTTTCCTACAGGAAAAGTATTCAGTTAGCTTCCTGCTAGCTGCAGCTAATCACCAGTAACTAGCCTGCTGTTTGATGGCTGCCACTTTTCTATTTCTGTCTGTTAAGAAAGCTGGGGCCAGCCGGGGAGCATGGGGTAGGAAACCACACATAAACTCTCTGACCGGGGTGCAAGCACATAGGAGCAGTGGCAAGCTGTCCTGGTTTATGTTTTCTGTAAATGAATTATGTAAGGATAGGAATGAATATTAAAAATGAATGCTGGAAGTGACAGTCTGTGCCAGTAGCCTTAATTTGCCATTGTTTAAAATGCCATGCATACAGTATGGGACTGTGCCAGAACCACTCAGACTTTAATGTTGTATTGTTTGCAGCAAATCACACTGTATCACACTTTCTTATTCAACTGGAAATACATTTACTCTGGGCAGCTTGTATTGGCAGGACAGGATTTTGAATAGCAACTTACATTTATGTACACATGTCACATATTGTCAAGTCAGGTGTTTCTTTGATGAATCAATGAATTGTTTGGGCCATGATAGAAAAGATTGTCCATCAAAGTCTCACACATGTTAACATAATCCGTATATCATATTCCAACACTTCGAAACTATACTGTATAAAAGGATTTTGGAGGGTGGTATATATTCGAAATCATTTAACAAGTCTAAATCCTATAGCTTTTTGTTTTTTTAAAGTGAAAACTTCACAATTATTAGGTAAAATACTGCAAAAAATGAACAAGTTAATGGTCTCATTTATAAGGTGAACCCAGCCATTTTAGCATTAAAGCATGATGTGAGTGATATACACAGTGGATGAAAATGAAAGCATAAAGTCACAGACTGTGCCAGTACTCATCATTTGCCACTCTTTAAAGCCTACAGTAAAACACTTTTGACTTTATAATCATAGTTTATTTATATAGCCCAACATGTTGCATTTGTCTCAGTGGACTTAATTTTTTTGTAAAGTATCTCTTCTGCAGTTTTCTCCGGTGGTGGGCGTTGGTGTGATTTATTCCTGGCAACATCGGCGCTTCTGACACCATCTCTCGCACTTTTCTTCAATTTGTCGAGTTTAAAAGCGGTGTAAAATAGGATGTTTGCTCTCAACTTCCTCCCCACTCACTTTGCGTTTTCCAGAGATTTGAGAAAGCGCCTCCTTCCTCCCTCCGCTCCCTCGGCTGTTGATGCAACATCCTCTCTCTCAAAACCAGGAACAGATGTTAACATTCAGAGGTTTGAATAAAGGGAAACTTCCCAGTCAGCCGTGTTGCTCGGCCTGAATAATACTCTAGTGACATTCTCCCCTCAGAAGACTGCTTCGACATGACGATCTCAGTCATTATTATACATTTATACATGTATATTCAGTGTATTTTTTTATTTATTTGACCTTTATTTGACCAGAATAGGTCTCATTGAGATTAAACATCTCTTTTTGAAGAGAGTCCTGGCCCCAGAATGGTAACAGCACAGTTTTACAGTTACAGACAATTAAAAAAAACACACAATCACAACACAGTCATACACCAAGTTTAGCCAAAGCATTTACAGACACAGCGGCCTGCTTCAAGGTCAGTTAAAGTTGCTAGTAAAAAGTGTGGTATTTATTTCTAGTATTAGCATCATCTTTATAGTATTGGCATCATCATCATCATCCTCCTCCTCCTCCTCCTCTTACATAATCACTTTGCTGGATTCCTGATAACAGGACGAGTCACTGCAGATTGTTTAAAGTTTAAAGTTAAACAAAAATAAAGCTGTGATGTGGAGGATACATTGTCAGTCTGAAACTGAGACCTTTAACCGATACAAATGAGTCCTTAGTTCATACCCTTTCATAATAGGCTTCAGACGATACTTCCTTTTTGAAAATCAATCGTTTTTTAACAAGACTTGAACCCCGATTGTTTGCATATTTAGGAAGGCAACAATGGCCAACTCTAAAATCTGTTGCACCTTTTATTATTCTTATTCATTTTTTCAGCAGGTTTTGTAATGAACTAAATGAATAAAGACAACTTTTTGAAAAGTGTATGTGCAGAAAGACACCGATATTAAAGATTGTTTTAAAACATTTAGAGCTGAAACATTAAGGTCACTATTCTTGAGTTGATTGAATTCATAATTGACAATTTTGTTAAACAATTAATTTCTTAAGTCATTTTTCAAGCAAATATTTTACATGTTGGCTCCAGTTTCCAGAGTGTTTGATTTCTCAGTCTTGTGTAGTGAACTGCACATCTTTGGGTTTGACAGGGAACTGGCTGGAAGCTTTTAGTTGGTAACGTTTAGTTTCTCTTACAGCCTTGGTATACAGTAGCTCATCTTTTGTCTGCAAATTGTATTCCGTCATCCTCCAGTTTCCTACTCGTAAAATGTTTCCTGCTCTGTTGGATGAGGTCCAAACGTTCCCGCTCCAGAGTGGAGTCTGTCTTAGTTTAGTTTCTTAGGCTTGTGTTCAATTTGTACAAATGAAATAACCACATTAAAAGTCATAATTACCAATCGGTCAGTACTTGTGAAATTGTGACCAACAAAAGCAATCGTAGGCCTCTTAAGCAAAAAGAACAAGTATATATCAGAGTTACTATGTCTGACTCTAGCCTCCAAATATAGGTTATTTTGCGCAAATATGGTTCAGCAAACCACACTTGCTTCAGTACAGCATTCTAACTCAGTTTAAACTACATATCAAGTTACATGAGAGAGAAACCTGTCATCTGATTCAGACTTGGGAACATGCTCTGCCTTTAATGATAACATACATTGGACTTGTGCACCACTTACAAATCTAAATGAAGGATCTCCAATCTTTTATCATGTTGGTGTGATGGGAAGCCACTACCCATAATCCTCTGCAACCTGGAGTCTTTATCTAAGCTTTGAGTGCCCTTTGTCCTTTACCAGAATCATCTGCCAACGTCTCCTGTAGCTCCTGTCAGGTTGGGACCGATCAGAGATTTTCACCGCACCGTTTTCAACCTTGACCACCGTTGTTTCGCACTTATTTTTCCATCCCCCACTTGTTATGTTTGGCCGGAGACGAGGACATAAGGGGAGAGAATGGATGAAAACACGGAGCAGCTCTCACTCGCTCAACATCTGTTTCCATTTTGGTGTTTGCTTTTAAATGTGTGCCAGGGAATATGGAGCCCCCAAATGTGGAGAGGGTTGTTTTCAAGTAGTAATTTGGCACACCCCACTTTTCTTTTGTTGTTGTTGCTCTCATCCTCATTTAAGTTGGGAAGCTGTCTTTAGTGATAAACCACGCTTTCAGCCCGGAGGAGAGATGCACTCGTGAAACACATCATGTCTTTTTGGCAGTAAACCCTGCTAGCCTACTTTCCACTTGAGAGTTAGACTCTTTCCTGGCTCCTCTTCAACTATGAGAGTAGAACATTCCCTCCAGAGGCCATGGCTTTCTCCTCACATGTGTAGGGATACATATTTTACATTTTTAATATGCCTCTCTTTCTTGCAAGATCCAAAAAGAGGCAAAACATGTATTGAGTTAGCAGTATGTTGTTTGTATTTTAAGAACAACAATTGTTGATCAAATCTTGGGCTATATATTGATATTAAATGGATAATATGATATAAAACTAGATATCGTCTTACATTTTGGATACGGTTATATTAAGTGTTGTCTTTGCTTGGCTTTAAAGGATGCTTCACAGTAAGTGATGTCATTTTCTGAATTGAACACTGTTCTATTCTTTGCCTTAGCCCGCTTAGTCATTCAATTCACATGACATTTAAATATTGTATGAAAGAAGCAATGATCAACTCCACATTATCGTCACAATTAGATTTTCTTAATAGAGCTGAAATGTTTCAATATTTGATTCACAATGAGCCCACAAAAGTAAGCACCACACCAAGACATTTAAAAAGAAACTTCATAAGAATAAGACTAATGTTTTGATACGTAATACTAGACAAGAAGTACCCAGAAGTGAGCTCATTTCTGCAATTAGCAGCAGCTTCTCTCCCTGTCTTCACTAGCTCCTTAATCATGATGACATGAGAGCTCGCCCCCGATTGGTTTAGCTGATTCTGAGCTCAGCAGAGAGCCATGGTGTGACGTCATTGGTCCAACAGCCCCGGTTGCAGTTGCCCTTAAAGTCTCTGACGGCAGCTGTAGAGACTGATCTCTGGTGGTCTCTCTGATACAGAACCCAGAGTCTGACGAGGGCGATCGTACCACCATACTCCCCGATTAGTTTCACAGGGGAACAAAGGCTCGTTGGCATGTTGATTTGTTGCCGTTTGTTTTTTTATTGGTTATTAATAAACAAAATTGACAGCTAATAAAGCTCTCGCTGTGTCGGCACAGACAGTTTCCTTATTCAAACCACTTTAAAAGTGGTAATGTTCACCTTTACAGTCTTTCACCAAAGATTTTCACCAACCTCTGACATTTTAACCCAAACAATAAATGACTTAATTGAGAAAAAGGTTGCCCGACAATGCGAATAACAGTTAGTTGCCCCCCCAGTTTATTGCTGTCAAAGGTTGTTACTCCTGTTATTGACTATCACTCCTCAGTGTTACAGTATATTAGGTCAATGCTGTAGTTATGACTGTCGCTTCCTTCCTAGAGCTTATGTAATACCTAGCAGGGCGGAGGATGAGCAGTGAACTCAAGATAGGCCTAAATGTTTTCTCATTACACGTAGACTTTCCCAAGAGCCTGTGTAACTGTTTATCTTTAGGTAATGACCTCATCTTGTTGATGTTGTTGTTGAATCTTCTGCGTCTAATGGAGGGTTTTTATCACAGTGGGACCCCCCCCCCCCCTCCATATCATCACCACTGCTCCGCTCTCTAACAATTACAGGATCTACGTCACAGCACTGAAGCTCACCCCATTCTTCACTTTTCCATCCACACTAACAGAAGTGTTGAATAGTTGACCACCAACACTACTGTCATTTCAGTAGAGTGG